AGGTTTATAAAACCTATAATCGATGACTATAGGTTGTAATATCTGAATGATTTGTTTGAAATTAAATTGATTTTTTACGGTCTAAGTCGTATGTTGCAATTTTCTGAATTTGTATGGGCGCTAAGTTATTCGGTATGAGACGTCTTTATCAATTTTCTCCTTTTAGACGCAATAGATAGAAGTAAAATTAGTGGCGATCAAAAGCACTTTTTTATCGCATTAAGCCTATACTCCCTTTAATTTTTCGCGAACACTCCCTTTAACTTATCCTTTCTTAACCTTTCTTCTGCTTCCTTCCTTCTTGAATTTTCTCAAAATTTAGTGAACCTAAGCTTGTGAAAATAGATGAAACTAAAGAATTAAATGAATTTAATAGATTGTTTTTGTTATTTTTGCAAAAATCAATAAATTTGAAAATAAATTGATTATTATGAAGAACATTTTTTCTCCATTTCTGTTGATTTATTTTCTCAAAAACTTTTAAAACAAAGCTTATAAAATGGTGAAACTAATGAATTTGAGTCTCTTTTAAGATAGTTTTCAATTCTGAAAATAATTTTAAATTATTATATACTTTTAATAAGATCAGTGACTAATAATTTTCTGTGATTTTTTTTTTCTTTCTTAAAGATCGACAATCGACACTGAAAACATTTTTGTTTTTATGATGAAAACGCTGAACACTCTTAAATCAAACCTTTATTGTACTGTTCCAAGAAGCACTGTTTCAAAATCAAAATTTTAAATCAGCCTTAAAGTTATGATTATAAGTGACCTTCCATGTGCTTTATTAGAAAATTTTCCTCCAATGTTTCTAAAGTAGAAATCCACAAGATATGTTTAAAAACCTCAAATATCTATAATCAATTTACCATTAGAAAATTATGGATATACAAAAAGCTAGTTGTTTGATTTTCAAGGTTTTGTATTCGATCTACAAATAAGTTTATTGTGTAATAAACGTCAAAACGGCTGAACCGATCGGGCCCAATTTTTTTTGTGGGACATGGACCCCAGGGAAGGTTTATGAATGATCAAAATTTCAAATATTTGTCTCCATCAAAATTCGATCTTCATTAAATTGTTGAAAATTTTGAAAATCCACGAAATTTTTGTAAAAATCCGCGAATTATTTTTGTTTTGTTTTACGATGTACACAATTAGAACATGCAGTTCACAATTAATTTAAAAGATGGGCGCGCTCTAAGGCTAGTAATTAATAATACTTCTATTCTCATGAAGAAAAAATTGTTACTTTCAAATCTTTATCTATATATAAATTTGGCTTGTCTGTCTGTTTGTTTGTTTGTTTGTCTGTTTGTATCCAATAAACGTCAAAACGGCTGAACCGATCGGGCCCAAATTTTTTGTGGGACATCTAGGGNTGACAAATTTATTATTTTGATAAAACAAGATTATTTGTTAAAAATACCAAACATTCTTTATGAACTCATAGATGTTTAACTAAAACAATTCTTAAGAAAAAGTCAAAGACAAACATGCAGGATAAGAACTACTTGATATACTGCACAATAGTTGATAAGATCACGTAGATCCAGATAAGTTAAATATTCCAAGAATGCTGCATGACCAGTGACCACTGTATTACATGGTTGTGTAAAGACATGGTCTATAAAATTATTAGTATTGGTGTAATTTATTCTGTCACGTGTTTAATTTGTTCTGTACCTTCTTGGTCTCTGGTAACTTTGACAAGATATTTTGTATGTAGAATAGGTCAATTTGACCTCCAGAAATAGCCGTTATGCTAGAGAACGGACTGTACAGATGTAAATATTTATGTTTAAGATACTGTATGCTTAATAAACCTCTAAGTATAGGTATAGTTCACCCATCAAGAAATCAAATAAATTCAAAATATATAATCATTTAATATTTTTACTTAATAATCAAAAACTACATTAAACCTTATTATGCTATAATCTAACAATTTAATTAAAGTTGTTTAATAGAATAAATTAAATTTTTATTCACACCACCTAGCGGAAAGAAAACTCAACTTTTAGAAAATGCTTTGTCTTGGCGCATTTTAGTTCAAACACTAAAACCGGTTTTATTACAAAACTGGAATTTGAGATGGAAAATATTGTTGCTAAGTGAATACTAGACGTACTTTTTCTCATTACAATTCAAATAAATTCCCGGGAATTTGAAATTATAGGATAACTAGCCTTAGAGGGCGCTTCGCGCCAATCTTCTAAATTAATTGTGAACATGTTCTCTTTGTGTACATCGTAAAACAAAACAAAAATAATTCGCGGATTTTCACAAAAAATTTCGCGGATTTTCAAAATTTTAAAAAATTTAATGACG